CAGTCAATCACTCCCTGATTCAAATGATCCTGTCAGAGTGAGTTTCTGGTGAATGATTCACTGATTTAAATGATCCTGGCAGATTGAATCTCTAGCTAACAATGCACTGATTCAAAACGAATCCAGGTAATGACTCACTGATTCAAATGATCCACTCAGAACTGTAGCTTCCTGTTAAAGATTTACTGATTCAATAGATCAGGTCAGAGCAATTCTCCAGCACCACAACCTTGCAAGGTGGCTTCCAGCACTTTTTGGACAGTCTTTGTAGTAGTGATGCCCAATAGTGTTTAAGTCTAAAATTTGATTTGTGCAGATTATATAACTATTTGGCCCTATGATATACAAGACACCGCTGTCACGATATGGAAACGGCAGTGGAAGCCACATAAAGGAACATTTTATTTCTCTGTTCAATAATATGCTTATTTCTGTTTTGGACAAGTGGTCACACCAAAAAAAAAGGGCTTTGAAAAGCAGCTTTGATAAGGCGTGTAACTAGGGTTTCAGATTTCTGCGTATAAAACCAGCCTCTGCATATGGTTTTCCTGGGATAAGATCCATCTACTGTGCTATATCCAGCCACATAATAAAAGATGATAGAAGTCTTTGCTAACATGTGAGCCAGGCAAACATCCTGGAGCATTTTGAAGACAATTCTCATGCATCTATCATTAGCCCCTTTCACACAGTTATACCAACACAATCTCACAGCAATTCGTAACTTTTGCTTTGGTGGTTAATTCAAAGGAATTTGTACAATCTAGTTCGTACAATTTAGTACGATTTGCTCATCACCCAGTGAGGGTTGGGGTTAGGGGTAGGGTTAGGTGGTTAGGAGGTTAGGCCACGCCTTCTTTTTTAAATCGCGAATTTTCGTACGACTCAACTCGTACGAATTCATAGGAATTAGCCAATAAACTGACAAAACGTAAAATACTTACGTTTCCTCGTGAGATCCGGCTGGTTATAACGGTAAATATCCAGAAAATTTCTGCATGACTTTACCAGTAAATTTAAAAATGACAATCGGTATAATTGAACTAAATACGCTAAATTGGCCAAAGTGTAGTGAATGCAAGAGTGTATGGGTGTTTCCCAGTGTTGGGTTGTGGCTAGAAGGGCATCCGCTGCGTAAAACACATGCTGGATAAGTTGGCAGTTTATTCTGATTATTATAGGGACTAAGCCGAAAAGAAAATGAATGAATACAACCCAAGCTCATTCTGGAAACGTAGCCCCGCGGACGTTTCTGGAGACCGCGATTTACGTGGCCGGAGGTACGTAAAGGCCGCGTTTAGTTTTTTTCGAGCGAACGCTGCGGGGCGGTGTGGCGCCGCTTCGCCCCTTCTCTTCGCGCTAGCCGGCCGACGGCTCGCCTCCGAGTGGAGGGCTTTCCCGATGCAAACAGTTTGTCCGCTTAGCTCACAGCGTTGCGTCGGTGGAGCGGAGGCCCCGGACGAGGAGGAGGAGAAGCCGACCACGGTGGACGACAACCGGGATCGAGTCCGGGGAACAGCAGGTTCCGGAAATCAGGTAAGACGAAAAACGGAATCCAAAAAATAAGGGCGAGAACGCGGCGGGATCCTTAAACGCGGTCGAAATCGAAGACGAGGGCTTTTGCTTTTTTTTTTTTCTGGACGGCTTTTGCGAACCGTCGCTCGGGTTTAGGGAAGGAGGAGGAGGAAGAGGAGCGCGGCCAAGTCGGCCGATCCGGCGGCTTTTCGCGCGAGAACGTCGCGGGCGCGAACGGCGCGCGCTCCCGAGAGGCGCCCGAGACGCGAAAAAACGCCGCACAGCGGCCTCTCGCGGATCCGCGAAAACAAAAATTGCGGTCCGCAGAAACGTCCGCGGGGCTACGTTTCCACAATGAGCCCGGGTTGAATGAATAACTTGTTACACCAACACAATCTCACAGCAGTTCATAACATTTTGATTTAGTCGCTAATTCATACAAATTCGTACAATCTAATTTGTACAATTTAGTACGATTTGTCCATCCCCCATTGACAGTTGGGTTTAGGGGTGGGGTTAGGTGCCACGCCTCCTTTTTAAAGTCGTAAAATTTCGTACGACTGAATTCATACGGATTAGCCACTAAACTGACAAAACGTAAAATACTTACGTTTTCTCGTGAGATCAGGCTAGTTACACCCAACTCTTCCCATCACTAATCGTTATTGACTGTAAAATAAAATATATGTACATTAACAGGTTTTGTATTTTATGATTTACAGTTTTTTTAGTTTACGGTTATGAATTGGATTTTGAGACACTGATCTCTGGTAACAAAGTGATTTTTAATGACATTTTAGTAGTTTGAAACAATATATTGTATTAGAAAAAAAAAATGTATTGGCAGTCTTTATTATCAGGTTTTAAAACTGTAATTTACAACACCAACACAGACAATATATCAGCTTAAACCAGGGGCATCGCTAGACCCTATAAAAAAATCGACAGTGCCCCAGTAAATGCTTTGAGATACGATTTACATATGCAAGTGTAATAAAGACGTTATTCTCTATGTGCAACCGAACCAACGCTGATGAAAGCAATGTTGATTAATCAAAAAGCAAACTTAGCATGTGCGCAGAAAATAAACAACAACACACCAGCGTGGCTCACGCACACCGCTCCTGCTTGACGCTGATGCGCTGCTCTGCTCCTAGTCCGGTTGTGAACATGCACGCCGAAAAATTAGGCAGGCCGCTCATGCGTTGTGAAACCGGCTTTACCAGCAAGCAGTGAGTTTTGCAAGTCAACAGAACAAAGTTTAAATAATATGATGGTGATCTTATTTATACTGCAGGGCTCCTGATAGATTTTCTTTTGGTATAAAGCAGAAAGGAGGGATGAAGTCAAAGAGGTAAGACTTAATAAATCTAATTCCCGGCCTTGAGTCGGATCTAAGACAACACACAACAGAAAATTCTATAAAATTGAATAATATTGATATAAAATTCTATCTTTGTATTCTATTGATTTGCATATATAATGTCTAATATTTATGCAAAATATTTCTTTAATTATCTCAGCATCCAGGATTAATTTCTATTAATTATTTAGAATAATAATTGCATAATAACAATAGTACTGTTATTTATTTATCCATTTTTTGTTTTAGAATATGTATATATATATATATATATATATATATATATATATATATATATATATATATATATTTTTTTTTTTTTTTTTTTTTTTTTATAGAGGGGGTGCTGAGCCCCAGTAGAGCTTTATGTCTATAAATATTGACAATAAAAGTCACTTGTTTTAACTTTTTAACATCAAACATTCTTAGAGGAGAGATTATTCACAATTTAAAAGCATAAATATGGAAAATCGTCAATATACAGATATGTTTTACATGCTTTAATTCAACAAAACGTCGCAGGAACACAGAAAAACTACATAAAAAGTGATGGAAATGATTAGTTCAGTTCAATCCACACGTTATTTTCATGCGCAATTTTTTTTACATCTTAAATTTAGCATTCCTGATTCATTTTTGTAATGCAGTCGTGAACAAGTAATACATGTTTAGACGTAAAGATGTGAGAAAGGAGGTCAGACAGGGCCATGGCTCTTGAAGTTGCAACGTGTCCACAGAGCAATGAGCATGGTTTGATATAATGCCAGATGTTCTTCTGTCTCTCTCTCTCTCTCTCTCTCTCTCTCTCTCTCTCTCTGTTTGTCTCTGCTTAACATGTTGCATATGGAGAAGCTAATGGCGCACAGCTTTGCCTATATGTTCAGGCATGCAATGGCCATTTGCACAAATATTCATGTCATGATTTTCTATCTGTCATTATAACATCGAACACTTATTTCATATCTCTGCGCTGCATGTACTGTAAGGATGACTGTGCATGAAGCAGTACTACTTTATGATCATAGATTTTTAATGCTGAGTTCCACACAATCGATTTGTGTTGGGAAAACATGAAGGAATTAAGCTAGCTCATTAGTTTTTACAAATTTAGGTGGATTGAACATAAAACAGTTAAGTTGTTCCACCAAAAAAACTCAAGAATTGTGTTGTTTCAGCTCCTTTTATATTAGAAATTTGAGAAAATGACATTTTTTGAGTGTGAATATGTTCGTTTTTCTATTTTTTAATCATATTTCAAGTAATTTAGTTGTGTATTTGTCAATTTTATTAGTTGTATTTAATATACTTAAGCTTAAAGCTACTTAATGATGCCTTATTTGTGTATTTTATTTTAGTTTATGTTCATTTCACATGCACAAGATATGTTTTATTTGATTTAGTGATGTTTAATCCTTGAAGAAAGCTTAAATAACAAATCTTTGTTAATAGCCCAAGATTGTTGCAGGAGCAGAACAATGAGGAAATGTAGTTTTTAAAAGATTTAGCGCATTAATACAACTAGAAATGTCTATTTAGGCTTATATTTTAAAGGGAAAGTTCAAAATTTTGTCGTGATTTACTCATATTTTAAACATAGAGTTTGCAAAAGAAGATATGTTTAAGAAAAGCTGGGTCCAAAACAAGTCGTTGTGCATTTTCCACACATTTTCCAGTACATGTTTCTGATCCAGCAAAGAAAGTCATGTAAAGTTTGTGCAGACATTTAATGTCTGAACATTTTGAAAGAGTAAACCCTATTTTCCGAACATCTGAACATCCCTCAAATTCACCCAAAAAAACAAGAAATAATCAAATTTGTCATCTGGTAACCATAATAAATCAGTAAAAGCCCATGAAATATTCACAGAGGGTGCTGCATGTCCAAGTCAAAAAGAAGCACACCAGATCCTGACATTCAGAGAAGAGCAAGATATCCAGAATCCCTAACAAACGTCTCCATGTTTTCAAAATGTCCACGTTGTAATGAAGACTAGGAATAGTTTGACATGTTTTAAGGCGGCCCTTTGTCTTGGCTGAAGGAGGGACTCCCTTCGCCTTGAACATGTAGCAGATATCTTGCGCACTCAGCACCTCCCCAAAACTTTGGCATATAAAAGCCAGGGTCAAACATTTGTTTAGGCAGTAGGGAGTTTCTGCTAGGGTCTGGATTGGAGTTACACAGACCGGACCCTACGTGTATGAGTGAGGACAAAACAGGATTCCCCTAGCCTCAAAGAGTCTACATGTCTAATATTTAGACATGTTCAGCTTTGTGGATATCCGGTTAGGGCTGCTGCTCGCCGCAGTGGTCCTTGCAGTGAGAGGACAAGGAGAGGATGACAGTGAGTATGATTTTTACTCCTGCTTTTAACTCCAAAGATGCTTGACAGTGGACACTGGAGAACTGAGGAGGGGGAGATGTTGCAGCTCACCTGCACTCTGAAACTTTCTTGGGAATGTCTTGAGGAGGAAAGCCCTACCTTTTTATTCTCACCAGCGTTTTTTTAAAACTTCTAGAAATCTTTCTTTGTGCATCTTGCGGAGTTGTTGTTTCTTCATCGTGCTTGTTTCCTGCGCGCGTGCCCTTACATGTTAAGCGCGAGCACGCGCGCCTGAGTGATGTCCTCGAGCGAAGGATGCGCTGAAGGAAAAGACGACGAAAAGAAGAGAAGAGGGCTTTTAAAATCACTTATCTTCTCATTTTCACGCTTCTCAGTATTCTGTCATACATTTATCATTCGAAAACAGGATATAAACCCGCTTATCTGTGGATTACACTGCTTTTGTGATAGAACAGATGCAGCCGTTACTCTTGTAAACAAACGGTTTTGTCAGGGTTAGCTTAGCCGTTAAGGTTTAACAATATACTTACAATTTCGCGTTTCTAAATGACAAACAAGATTTTTATTTGATATGGAAAACCCTTTAGTTTCCAGTTCATTAATTGTGAGTGTTCGGGGCGTGACGGTGCATTGAACAGTCAATAGCGCCACCAAGCGGTGGATTTTAACACTATATAGTCTTAAACATGATGAAGGCCTGTCTTTAACATCATCACCCTAATGCACCACGCCCAATTACACTATTTTATCCTAATTTTAAAGATTTTTAACAGTTAAATTAAAACAGTAAGGTCTCTAATGTTCACTCTCTGCATTTTGCAAGAGTAATGCCATTATCGTTGCTTTTGTGTTATACTTACCATATATTTCCTTCTAAATGTAACCTAGAGGTGTTTGTATTTGTATGTTTTAGAGACTTTTTTATTCACTTAGCACTCTGAGGGTGATATTTAGTTGCCTGTTTGGTTACAATTATCTTTTAAAATCAAATTGGGATATTATTGTGGACCCTTCAGTTCAATTGATTATCCTCCACTGTCCTAATTCATGCTTCTTGTCCTTGCAGTCTCATTCGGTAGCTGTACATTGGAGGGTCAGAATTACAACGACAAGGATGTATGGAAACCCGAGCCCTGCCAAATCTGCGTCTGCGACAGCGGGACGGTCATGTGCGACGAGGTGATCTGCGAGGATACATCAGACTGTGCCAATCCAGAGATTCCCGATGGAGAATGCTGCCCCATCTGCCCCGACGGTACTACCTCCACCTTCAACCTTGTGGTCATGCTAGCTCTGCCGCCCTCAAGTGTGCAAACGCTTAATCACATGCTCTGGGAAATATCTGTCATTGGCCTGCCATCATGCTGGAGCCCTATGGAGTTTTAATACTTCACTGGATTCTTTCACCATTGATGCCTTTACATGCAGCTGAGGGATTAAGGATGCTTTTGCTTGTAGCTGTTATTATTTTTCAACTAATAATGCATTTTCTGCACTGTTTTTCACAACAGTGTATGATGCATTGCACATCAATGTGCTTTCATATATATATATATATATATATATATATATATATATATATATATATATACACACACACATTTTGTGTGTTTCGTTTTGTAAATGCATATTAAGCTTCATTTACACACAAAACAAAGTAATGATGCTTTGTTTTGCTATTGTTATTGCTAAAAGTACTTGCTTATTTATTTATTTATTTATTATTTCTACATACTCTGAGTTTATCTTTACATTAGCTGTTTTATTTTATTTCTGAAATATGTTTAAATTCTTTCCATAGAAGAAGTTACTGCAGCTCCTGAGCCTCCATATGTTGATACCGTGGTTAGTGTGAATTTTATTGCGTATAAAAAGTGAATGCATCACAATAATGTGCATTAAGCACATTGAAACATGTTTATGTTATATTTGCAAATTGCTCCAAGGTAATTAAATTGCACTAAATTGCAAATATTTCACATTTTTCATCTTTAGGGTCCTGCTGGCCCAAGAGGAGACCCAGTGAGTAGACTTTTTGTTGTTGAAAATCTACTTACCAGCTTATTATGAATGTTTTTTTTCCTACTATGTTTTGAAGACTAGTAATAAAACGAAACAAAAATGCACAATGGGGTTTTCAAGAGTACAAATGTCATAGGTGTTAAAAAGCTTGTATTCATGTTAGAGGTAAACTGAAGGTAGTTATTAAGCATTTAACCTGTTGACCTTTACTTGTTCCGCTGACCTTTGACCTCTTTAACCTTATGTAACTTGCACAACGTTGCATATTAAAGCTTTTTATATATATTATGTCACTTACAGCACAGTTTAAAACTTTATATGATATTTTATACACGTTATGCAAAACAAAATGATAATAAAATCAGTATGGAAAGAAATTAATGTTCATGGGTCTCTGCTGTGTTTTACAGGGTCCTGTTGGGCCTCCTGGCAGAGATGGTACTCCCGGAGAGAATGGACTCCCTGGCCCTCCTGGTCCTCCTGGGACCTCTGGCCTTGGCGGCGGAGTAAGGAATTAGTTCCAATATTTATATATATAATTTTTTATTTAATCTGTGAATCTGGATTTGAGTTATCTGCATCCATACAATTATATTTACGATAATCAGACAAAGAATCTGTGCATAGTCTTCCACTGCTACACAGTAGATTTTTATGTTTGCCATTAAGAAAATGATATATATGAAGGTAAAATACAGCAAAAATGTGTATTATTATTACAATAAAATAATAAAGTAATAATTAACTTTTAGTAAAAATAAAATAATAAACAAAATAATGTTGAAAAGATTTTTTTAAACACTGATTTCCTTCAGAAATTGCTAGTAATGCACAAAATGCAATGTGACATTTTTAGTAGAAATACTGAAGTTGAACGTCTTGTATTTTAATAATCTTATTTATTACAACAACCAAAAGACTATAATCTTACTGTGTAGTTCAGTACCTAACTATGTGAACAGCTCCCATCATTCCCGCCACTAGGTTTCACACTAGGTTGACAGGAATAAAAGCACAATGTGCACTCTTTAAAAGCTGTTTGTGGCTTATCACATGCATGCTTTAATTGACATCCATGTGAATTTGGAGTTTATATTATCATGGCATTCAAACAAACTCAATCCTCGAGTAGTTAAACGATGAGCTGAAGATAATCACAGAAGCTCATACTTTGATTCTCTTGCTCTCCCACAGTCTTTCCTTTCCCAGATGGCTTATGGCAGTGAGAAGTCCAGCGGTCCTCCTCAACCCGGACCACCAGTAAGTCAGCTTCTCTGTTTGTCCTCATCCTCCAGTGGACAGAATAATCAGAAATGTGTTTGTACATCTCACGTATCATAACTCACTGCTATCGTGCATAAACATCAATGATGCTATTAGAATCGGTCATTTAACAATGTTTAATGTTGTTAAAGATTGGCTCATACTGACTTTTGCATTTACATTATTATCATATCTACATCTAACATGGGGGTTTCTCTCTTGTAGGGCCCCATGGGTCCCCGTGGCCCCCCAGGACCTGCAGGTTCACCTGTAAGTTGGTTTTAATACTATACAATAAAGAGGTTAACATTATAAACTCAATCTTTCACTTGAAATCTAACTGTATTTGTTTGTGTTTATCTCAGGGCCCTCAGGGATTCACTGGCCCCCCAGGCGAGCCTGGTGAGCCTGGTGCTCCTGTAAGTACCTTGCATTTACTTTATTCGTTCTCAGTGTTTCTGTGTGACATAATATAGCCTGCTTTAGATTTTACAGAGCATACATATTTGCTGAATATTATTATTAATAACCTGTCTGCAGGGTCCAATGGGTTCTCGTGGTCCTCCCGGCCCTCCTGGAAAGAACGGAGAAGATGTGAGTGTTTCTTTTCCTCATTTAAATCATCTTCAGTGTGTCTTTCATGCCTGTTTATATTGGTTTTGCTCTTCCTAAGGGTGAAGCTGGCAAAGCAGGCCGTCCCGGTGAGCGTGGAGCAGCTGGGCCTCAGGTGAGATATTTGTCATTGATATTCATAGACATTTTGAATTAGTGTGTAAGAAGACATGCAGCATGCTAATTGGGATATACAATTTATATGTGGAGCTATACACTATATAGATTGCATTATCATGCTAATTTCACAGGGTGCTCGTGGATTCCCAGGAACCCCTGGACTCCCTGGCATCAAGGGACACAGAGTGAGTATGACAGCAAATAATATGTTTTTTTTTATTTTATTATTTAAACGATTGATTTGTTATGTTTGTTTATACATTGTCATCGTATGGCCATTGTTGTAATACTCATATATATTTAATATTTTAGTTTTTTTTATTCTGTGTGCAATACTCATGCATCTTTGCATAAATTAAGTATAAATAACAAGATTGCATAAAAATAAGTAATTAAATGTTTTATTTTATATCAGGTTGCATGACTTTTTTAGATATCCGTTAATATAATGCTCATTAAATGTGTTGTTTTTTTTTGGTTTGTTTACAACAGTGCTTACAATGTGTTTTTTTTTTTGTGTTTTTTTTGCAATTTTAGAATTAAATTAGCTTAGATTTTTGCTATTTGTTATTTGCAAGTTCTCATCATGGGTGTTTAGGCTACGTAAATTCATTTACATTAAGTTATTCTACCTTAAGTAATTAAATAAATAAGTATGAAATAGTGCAATAGCGTAAACTTTGTTACTAAATCAGTCTAAAATTATTTTTAAAAAGTAAATGTAGCATTTTATATTAGGTTGCATTGTTTCTTTAGATATTCATTATTTTATAATGCTCATTAAATGTGTTTTTTATTTTGTGTAAAATATTGCTTGAAATTTGTGTTTTTTAAGCTATTTTGGATTTAGAATAGCTGTTTGTTTAGTGCAATTTTCCTTCATATGAATAAATATGAATAAATAAGTATAACACAATGCAATTGCATAAAATAAGTCATTAAATGAGTCTAAAGTAATAAAATAAGACATTAAATGAATCTAAAATGATAAAATAAGTAATTAAATGTATTATTTTATATTAGGTTGCATTACTTCTTTAGATATTCATTAATATTATACTTATTAAATGTGTTTTTTTTATTTTGTGTACAATATTGCTTAAAAGTGTGTTTTTTAAACTATTTTAGATTTAGATTAGCTTAGATTTTAGGTATTTGTTTAATGCAATTTCCCTTCATATGCGTTTAGACTACATAAATTAATTAGAATTAAGTTATTCTAAATTAAGTAATTACTTAAAAAAGTATAAAATAATGCAGTTGCATAAAATAAGTCATTAAATGAGTCTAAAATTATTTTAAAAAGTAATTAAACATATTATTTTATATTAGGTTGCATTATTTCTTTAGATATTCATTAATATAATGCTCATTAAATGTGTTGTTTTTTTTTTGTTTGTTTTGTTTTGTGTACAACAGTGCTTAAACTGTGTTTTTTAAGCTATTTTAGATTTAAATTAGCTTAGATTTTTGCTATTTGTTTAATGCAATTTCTCATCATGTTTAGGCTATAAGTAAAATAATGCAAATGCATAAAATAAATTATAAAATGAGTCTAAAGTAATAGAATAAGTAAGTAAATATATTATTTTATATTAGGTTGCATATTTTTATAGATAATTATTAATATACTCACCAAATGTATTTTATTTATTTATTTTTTTTTACAATAAGTGTGTTTTCACTTCCTTTCATACATTCTAAAATTTTATCTATTTAATGCAATTTCCCTTCATATGTGTTTAGGCTACATAAATTAATTTACATTAGGTAATTAAATAAGTATAAAATAATAAAATTGCATGAAATAAGTATTTAAATGTGTTATATTAAGTTGCATATCAGTTTTAGACATTCATTAATATACTCACTAAATGTGTTTATTTTATTTTATTTTTGTCTGCACTGTTGCTTAAAATGTGTTTTTGGACTTTATACATTAATATTTATAATCAAGATATTACTTGTATATTGGTACTTATGACATATGATCTTATTCTGCATCCGTAATCCTACCTAATAGCAAAACTATTACCATAATAACTATTAATAAGCATCAAATTATTAAGCTTAAAGTCTAATAATAGTGAGAATTGTGTCTTAAAAGAAAGTGTGACCATAATTTTATTGCCTCATTCAGGGATTCCCTGGTCTAGATGGAGCTAAGGGAGACGCTGGCATTGCTGGACCTAAGGTTAGATTTAAATTGATCATACGCAGATATTATTATTCATATGTATGCCACTTTGCATCCTCAATTAATCATATTTTCACTCTGTTTTAGGGAGAAGCTGGTTCTCCTGGCGAGGCTGGAACTCCTGGAGCCATGGTAAGTGGATCCAGACAGCATTAAGATATATCTTAATAAGTATATATTTTAAAACATATAACAAGTTTCATATTCACACTTTTTCCTCTTTATTCAGGGTGCTCGTGGTTTGCCCGGTGAGAGAGGTCGTCCTGGTCCTCCCGGTCCTTCTGTAAGTAACTACAATCTTACAAAAACATCTTGAGTTGATTCATTTAAACTTTATATTGAATATTCAGTACAGTCTTCATCTTATATGTTTATACCTCATATGTTTATTTAGCTTATGCATTTATGAGTTATACATACTGATTGTTCTTGAGTAAACATTTATAAGTGTGACAATTTGAAGTCTGCATTAATGCAAACAAATTAAAGTCTGTTACTTAATTATTGAACAAAATGCATGGATATTTATAAATTGCTTTCACATGCATAGTCATTCTTATTTCAAGAATTGCTTGCTTGTGAGAATCCTAAAGGGATGGTTCACCCAAAATTGAAAATTCTGTCTTCGTTTACCTGTCATACACTTGTTACTTTAGTTAAACACAAAAGAAGATATTTCGAAAAATGCTGGAAACCTGTAACCATTGACGTCCATAGAATTTGTATTTCCTACTATGGATGTTATGAATGGTTACAGGTTTCTAACATTCTTCAAAATATCTTCTTTTGTGTTACAAATCGACAACCAGTGAGATCTATAGTAGGAAATACAAATTCTATGGAGGTCAATGGTAACAGGTTTCCAGCATTTTTCAGAGTGAGTAAGTTTAATAGTGTGTACATGTCGTAGTTAGTAAAATTCACACTGGGTGAACTGTCTCTTTAGTTCAGGGTTCAGATCATCATTCAGTATCATCACTGGATTATAAAAATGAATCCGCTTTGTTTTCTGCAGGGTGCACGTGGTAATGATGGTAACACTGGCGCTGCCGGACCTCCCGTAAGTCTCAATACTCTGTGAATACAAGCAGTTATTTACTGTATGATTATACATATAATTTAAGTATTTCAGTCTGATTGATAGTCAGTACAATTTACCTTGATTTTATAGTCGTTTTTTATAAATCAAACAGATTGAAGTATGTTTTTGTGATGCTTTAAAATGTTAAGTATAGTCCACTTGAAGTTATATTATGAGAACTTGAATGTTTGAGTAATCTGGGAAGGTTATTGACAGGTAATTGTAGCAATAAACTGCAAAAAAAAATGTGTTTTTGTCTTGTATCTTGTCTAAATATCTAAAAATTCTTAAATCAGGAAGCATTTTTAAACAATATTGTTTTATTTTCAGAAATAATTAGTCAAAATTAAGTAAAATAATCTTGTTTTTGGTTTGAAATCAGATTATTTTACACATTATTTTGATTGTTTTGAGGGAAAACTCGTTTAATTTTGACCTTTTATTTCTGAATACGAAACAATATTTTTTGCATGTCTTGAAAATTATTATTGATTTAAGAATTTTTAGATAATTGGACTAGAAATGAGTCAAAAACTCAAGCATCTCTGCAATGTAATCTTTACAGTATGATGTTGAGACTTTAGCATTGTCTGATCAGAGCGGGGTGAATCTTAAAAGTAATTTTTATGTATTTGATGTCTTTTGTTTAACTACCTTTTCATATTTTTCCAACATTAGGGACCCACTGGCCCTGCTGGTCCTCCTGGTTTCCCTGGTGGTGCTGGTGCTAAGGTACAGCAAACGAAACACAATTTTGCACCCATTTTACATTAAGTTCACTCACATTTTAAATTTTTTCGTGGTCATGTATTAGTTCAGATGACAATAGTATATTGGTATAAAAGCAATGCAATATTATTAAACACATAAAAACACATCCAGAACACAATTAAGTTGTTTCTTAACTCTTGCATAGATGGGATACCAATAAAATGGACTGCTAAATGAGTAAATTAGAAGTCACTTTCCTAAAAATAATTGTTTTAATCACTGTTTTGTTTTTTTGTTTTTAACACACTTATGCAGTCATTTTACATTAAATGCACCCACATTTTAATGTTTTTCATGGTCATGGATTGGTGGAGATGACAGTAGTATATTCGTATATTAGTATAAAAGCAATGCAATATTATTAAACACACACAAATACATCCGAAACACAATTAAGTTGTTTTGTAACTCTTGTATAGATGTTATACCAATAAAATGCACTGCTAAATGAGTAAATTAGGAGTCACTTTCCTAAAAATAATTGTTTTAATAAATATTTTTAAAAAACACACTTATGCACCCATTTTACATTAAGTGCACCCACATTTAAATGTTTTTCATGGTCATGGATTGGTGCAGATGACAATATTATATTGGTATACTGGTATAAAAGCAATGCAATATTATTAAACACACACAAACACATCCAGAACACAATTACGTTGTTTCTTGACTCTTGTATAGATGTTATAGCAATAAAATGCACTGCTAAATGAGTAAATAAGGAGTCACTTTCCTAAAAAAATCTAAGTTTTAATCATGTTTTTTTCTTCTGAAGGGAGAAACTGGTGCTGCTGGAGGTCGTGGTTCAGAGGGACCTCAGGGACCCCGTGGTGAGCCTGGTAACCCTGGACCTGCTGGTGCTGCCGGCCCTGCTGTGAGTATTTGCTATATTAAAAAAGAAAATCTTGCTAATTTGATAGAAAGATTTCTAAATTTTGAAAGAGAATCGGTATACATTGGTGGTTTAATTAGAAATAGAGAAAGTTGGATTATCTACAAAATAGTAATTTATTAAATGCATTTTTTAAGTGTTGTGTTTATCCAATTAATTTGTTCATTTGACAAAATTTAAATGTACTTTTGGGAATGGATAAAACTTTAAAAAGCTAATGCAACAAACACAATATAATGATTGGCTGTTTATTACAGTGTGTGGTGAATAAGATAAACGTCATCAGCTTTTAATAGCGAACTTCTCTTTTGTTCTTTCTCCATAGGGAGGACCTGGTTCTGATGGCACTCCTGGTGGCAAAGGATCTCCTGTAAGTATTCTTATATTTTATTTATATAACTTTACTTGGTATTTATTAATTAAAATTCATTGTATTAATCCACCCAATTCTGTATGTAATTAAACTGGTTTGCATGGCCATTTTAAGGGTGCTGCTGGTATTGCTGGTGCTCCTGGTTTCCCTGGTGCTCGTGGACCACCAGGACCCGCTGGACCTAATGGAGCTCCAGGCCCCAAAGGAAACAATGTATGTTTACTGCTTTTTATAGTGCATTCATAGGGAATACTCAGGGTTTATAAGTATGTTTTTGCACTCTTTTGTTTGATTGAAATTGGTGTGAAACTGGTTTAAAGATCTAAATAATAGTCTGTAATTTGACAACACACTTCATCACCCAAAATGAATATTTACTGACCTTTATGTATTTATAAACCTGTGTAAATTGTTTCCTGGAACACAAAAAAAACCCACAAAAATGTTATCATTTCTGTTGCTATTATTATATATTATATGTATTATTATATATTTTATTACATGGGTGAATGGGACCCAAAACTGTTCAAATATCAGAATTCTACATCATTTTGTTTGCATTTTAATTGCAGCGTTAGATTAAAATAAATGAATAATAGCAAGAAAAAATAATTTATAGAAGAACTATCACTTTCTTTCATTTAAACTTTTTTTTAAAGTTTACATGGTACTGTAAAATTAATATTTTATTCTCTTATTTCAGGGAGATCCTGGTCTCCAAGGCCCTAAGGGAGATGCTGGTCCTAAGGGAGAGCCTGTAGGTATCTTTAAAACACAAATCATTCCTACTAAAACCTCTGCTGTTTTAGTAATAGTTATCGTTCTCTTTTGTAGGGTCCAGTTGGACCCCAAGGTCTCGCCGGAAACGCTGGTGAGGAAGGAAAGAGAGGAGCTCGTGGTGAGCCTGGTGCTGCTGGACCTGTCGGACCTCCTGGAGCCCGTGTATGTTTAACTTACTAAAACAGGAACAAATGCATACAAGAATGCTTTGTTTTTTAGTTCACTTATTTTCTTTTTCTTTCAAAAGGGTGCACCTGGCAACCGTGGTCTTCCTGGTAGTGATGGCGCACCTGGACCTTTGGTGAGATTATTAATACAGCACACAAATGTGACAAATCAAGAATAAATCTGCTTACATGTAATTTAAGCTCTGAAAACCAGAGTCAATTGTGCTGGAGAAAATTTTGGAATCAGTAAGGCTGCATTTATTTGACCACGTTTTTAAAAAGGAAGGTGATACAAATATGTAAATAAAAGTCATATTTCAAAATATTGTTTACATTTAAAAGTTTTGCAGTGTAATATACTTAAAATGCTAATTATTCAGATATTCTTTTTTTTTAAAATGGAAACCATGACTGAAATCAAAAGTAAATATTGCATTTATTTAAATTTAAACATATATTTATTTAAATATATTCAAATATGCAAGAAATACACAAAAGGTTATTATAAAAGAGATTAAAGGCTATTTAAACAATTTTGTTTCTTAAGAATTTAGTTTCTGAAAAATATGTATCAGTTTCCACAACAACGTTAATGCCATCACAACATTTAAGTTACATTGTTACGTTGCTAAAAGCAGTTTCCCAATATTTCTTTATCTAAACATGCTCTTTTGACCAATATTGTATATATATATATATATATATATATATATATATATATATATATATATATATATCGCATTGTGATGACATATCTAATATTATTTATCAGGACTGAATCATTCTAATAAGAATGCAGCACTTCTAATTAGTTAATTCAGCATATTTTTAGAGATGCAATTGCATGTCTTTTTCTTACAGAGTACTTTTACCTATGCATATCCAAACAGAAGTCATCTTCTAATAAACTAAATATATAATAATAAAATATTTGTTAAGCTCACAGCACTCAGTTTAGTTCATTCCTTCTCACAGTGAAATGCATGGGGAAGGAGCTGTCCAGGGTCCTGTAGTAGATTTCGGTTGTAGAAACACTGATTTACTAAAGATAATCTCATTTTAATCTACTTTCAGGGTGCCCCTGGCGAGCGTGGAGCCAACGGACCAATGGGAGCTCAAGGAGCCTCCGGAGAGTCTGGTCGCCCAGGAGAGCCAGGTCTGCCTGGATCTAAGGTAAATTACTTTTCATTTTTATTGGTCCAAGCATTATTAGCAGTATAAAGAGCATCTTAAAGTATTTAACCTAAACTGTTCACTGTTGTAGGGTATGACTGGTGCCCCTGGAAGCCCTGGACCTGATGGCAAAGCTGGACCTTCTGTAAGATTTTATTTTTGTCATTCATTGTGTAGTTTTTGTATGCAGTGTAGAAATGATATCAGATATAATCTTGTGTTTAAATGAATGTTTGCCTGAATGTCTAACTCACAGGGTGCACCTGGACAAGATGGTCGCCCTGGACCCCCAGGACCTGCCGGATCTCGTGGTGCTCCTGGAGTTATGGGATTCCCTGGGCCCAAAGGAACCGATGTAAGTTATTGTGATAATTGAACTAATTTTAAGTCTAATTAATTTTATAACAGACTGTTCAAAGTGAGTGAGTGATGCAAGATTAACCTTATAAAGACTGCTGATGCACATTTCAAGATTAACATTAACTTGATTGAAGCTTCTTTTTTATATGGCTTTTGAAGCATGTTTAATTTTTCATTTCTTAATCGCTCTATTTTATTATAATAAATAATTTTAAACCACAAAGATTTAATCATAAAATTAATTCCACAACTTTTTATCATTATTTTTATGCATTTTATTTATGCATTTGTAATTTGGGCATGGTTGCACCATGAGCCCATAAGTAGCATCCTTTCCTCATTTAGCATGAGCTAAATATTCTCAATATATCATATGTATTAGTATTGTATGATATGATACATGAAACATAATTGAAAAAAAAAAAGTAATATATGATCTTTATTTTTTATGGTATTTATTTTTTTGTTCAAATTGTTTAAAAATGAGGTTTCTTAGTTATTTTAAGTTTTATTTTTGAAGTATTTATGAATGTCAGCTTGTACCAACTGCTTGATATTCACATATATTTGTTATTCCTTTTAGGGTGAGAGTGGTAAACCTGGTGAGAGAGGACTTGCTGGACCTACTGGCCCTCTGGTATGTACCAAAAAGGGTGGGAAATGCTGGCAAATTGGCTAAAAATGCTTAATAGTTTAAGATAAGATGACATAAATACCCCTTGCTCAATTAAACAAAGTTTATCATGACTGCCGTAAGTAATAAAAGAAACCTCACATCTGCTCTCATTGTGTTTGAGCTTTATAAGCAATAACACATCGCTGTTGTCAGTAAAGGGGCTAATCAGCATTTAGATTAGTCTGTTATGTTTTATATTTAATATCCAGTTTACCCCTTTATATGGCACTCATTAAAATGCTCATCAGAAAAGCCCTGGAGTGGCTTTTGAGCTTTTATTACTTAAAAAAAGCAAAAAAAATGTTTAAAAAGCATTTAAAATAATATATTGTAATCAATGTCAGTAGGCAGTGTTAACCCCTCCAGATCTCTCATTTAAATTAATATTTTTATAGGATACTTTACAATACATTTGTGCATATGCATTAGATTTGTCAGTACCAAAGCCAAAACTGGCACTAATCTAACAAAAAAACTGAAGATGCAGTCCATACACACAGAGCCGGAGCAAGCTGAACTGCCGCCCTTGGCTGCCGCCTAGGTTGCCTCTATGGAGCCATGCATACACACACAAATTAACATGTTGGGAGGAAATATTAAACACAATTTTAATAAACTGGAAAAATCATGAGAAACATGAATTACAACTACAAAATTTTAAATAAATTTTATATCTTTTTTTATCAATACCTCATTTGAAGTGAATTTAACATGTTAGCTGACCAAACTCTTTATTTAATTAAAGTAAAAGTTTACATTTAACCCTTTGGCATTATTTACAGCAAAGATTTGCACATTTAAAAAGGTATTTTTTTCAAATTTAATCTTGCGAAGGTTTAAAAAAAATAAATAAATAAATAAAAAACACCAGGGGTAAATATTGTCTTTTAAACAGAAAAGTACATTTCTGCCTATAGTCCTGAATTACACAGTTTAATTAATCTTGTGCATTTCTTTAAACTTGTTTCTTGAATGTTTGAGCGGATTCATCTTGTACACATAGACATCACCTATATGCAATAAAACTGCAGGTTAACTATGTTCATGCATAATAACTTTAACTGTTAAAAGCTATTAGTTACTAGTCAATTAGTTATTAGTAACTTATAAAGTAATGCAACTAATAACCTTAAGTTTTCAGAATGTGATTGTAATGCAATAATGTGCACCTTTTTTTAAAGCTGCTTTGAAACAATAATTATTGTGAAAAGCAATATACAAAGAAACCTGAGTTGAATTCAAATGAATTGAATTATGATCATTGTGTGTTTCTCTGTATTTTCAAAGGGAGCTCCTGGTAAGGATGGTGATATCGGTAGTCCTGGTGCTCCTGGACCTGCTGTACGTCTGCTAAAACCTTTAAAAGTTTGATGTATTACAAATCAATTATTTCAGTGTGAACTGTTCTGACTTTGCCCTGGCCTGTCGTCTCATAGGGACCTGCTGGAGAGAAAGGAGAACAGGGATCTGCTGGTCCTTCTGGATTCCAGGTACATTTTTAGATGCTCATCATCAACACAGACCCTTTTACTTGTGTAATTTAGAAGAAATGCCTAGTATTTTTAATAATAAGTAAGTATTATCAAAAGCTTTTGATTCATGCGCAAAGCTGGAATATCGCATAAAGCATTTGCAAATAAATCACCATTTCCATCCTAAAAGTCAAGGGAAAAAAAATAATCAATTCCTGATTAACTGGTGGCATTTATCCAAAAGAAAATGTAATTTGTGCATGTTTTTAATGCATATTTTCTAAATTTATGCACAAAATTTTTAATTTTTTGAGTATTAGGCAATATATTTATTATGTGTATGTGATAGACACGTATACATAGAAACAAAACTGTATAAAAACAATATTGTTACATCGATATTTAAATTTATATAGTTTGTATCATATTTTAAATCTAAACATAAATACATTTTCTCAAATATTTGCATGCATGTGTGTATTTATATAGAAATAGTCAATATACACATCATACACATATATATTATGTCAAAACAATCTTATTTTTCAACAAATTTTATATTTTATTTTGAAATTATGTGAACAAAATAAACGATGTGGACAATCAGCATACAACATTGAGTATAACAAAAGACATGCATATATAAAATGAACAAAATACAGCAATGCAGGAAGTTGTTAAGTAATATTAATAATAGTAATGCTAACGACAACAATAATGGTAAAAATAAAAAGGATCAACTAAAGAGTAAATGAAAAGCAAACTTTTATTTTGCATGCAATAATTATATTTTTACCTCATTTTTTTTAATGTGATATTACATAAAGTGCATAAAAATGGTTGGACGGAAACATCACTATTGGTGTAATTTAGTTTTATTCATCTGCTTTTTATAATGTAGAGTCAAATCACATAGATGAAGAATACATACCTGTCAACATTCGGTTGTGAAAATAAGGGATACACCCACCATAATAAGGGATTCCCCCGGGATAGAACTGTAAAATACGGGAGAATCCCTGGAAAAACGGGATTGTTGACAGGTATGAGAATAGAGAATAGTAAATATAGTAAAAAAACATTCCAGCAAATCAGGTAGACAGGAGAGTAGTGCAATAATGCTGGTGTATTTCCAGCTAAACTTAAAATTGATTTAGTCATTTAATACAATCATTATTTGTTCTCTTCCAGGGTCTTCCAGGTGCACAGGGTGCTACCGGTGAGACTGGCAAACCCGGTGAACAGGTATGGATGATCGCTCAAACATGTCTAGAGTAAAAACAAAAATGATTTCTCAGAGCATTTCTCACATTATGATTGTTTAGGAAATGGCCATAAAATATGACTCCTAGTCAAACTTGGTCAGAACAAATTCATCTTGATAATGCTTTGATTGAAAGGCACAGTATCTAATGGATCACTATTGACCATCACTGTCCTGCTTGTAATGATTCAGAAGGCTTTTTAATGAACTGAACTCTCTTAAGGACATTTTTAGCAAAGTGGCACCAAATATAATGTTAGAATTTTTATAATGTATTAGCGCTAAAAATCCTATTTAATTTATGTACCATTTGTTTGTTGTTTTTACTTGTATATTTAATATTGAAATGTTCTTGCCATGAAAATAGCCTTGGTTGCTGATATGGCATTAAAAAAGCATTACCAAAACTGCTTCAGACAACTGCATTATAACAATATTTGCACAACTTTCATTACTGTAGTTTCTGGAATCCCTCAGGCTCATTTGTATGAAAATTTTTTGAATAAAATATGTCACGGTTTACTTCATTTTGCTATCCTCATTTACATAAATAAACTACAGTGTCCTGTACAACAATACAAACAAAATCCAAACAATTATAGCTGTTGTCTGAGTTTTTTTGTTTGTTTTACTGTATGCTTGCTGTATGGAGTTTAGGTTAAGTCACCATAATCAAGCGTATTGTAAACAATCATATCATATTAAAAAAGCCAATCAGCATTTATTCGGTATTGATTATGTTGATTGTTTAACAGGGTCTTCCTGGTGAAGCTGGTCCTTCTGGTCCTTCTGGTCCCAGAGTGAGTATATTCACATAAATATCCTTCATCTCGAACCATAATACACACCTCTGTTTTCCAGTTTTGCACTTATTAAATGTATTAGCACTATTACTGATATATATATATATATATATATATATATATATATATGTATATATGAAATTCTTTTTGTATCTGTATGTTGTTTTTCAATTAACAACATACTTTAAAACAAAATATAGATGCAAAAGAAAGAAAAAGAAATAAATAGAAAAGCAATATTTTATGGTATGAAATGATGTGAAAGCTGTTTAAAAAAATATATATTGCTTGATTATTTCACATTTTAAAAATGTAGTGTTATACATTCCATGCAAATCAAACGCTATTGGCTATTTTTTAAAAGGGGAGGAGCTACTCTATGCCCCTCCCTGTCTTTGTCAGACATCACACAGTACTGCACATTTTAAAGCACTTCACAGCACCTTTAAATATAAACAACTACAGTAGTTTCTGTTTACTTGTAATGAAATACAGTAGAGTAATGTTGTAAATGTCTCCCGTAGGGTGACCGAGGTTTCCCTGGTGAGCGTGGGGCCCCTGGACCTGGTGGCCCAACCGGCCCTCGTGGAGCCCCTGGATCCCCTGGTAATGATGGTGCAAAGGTAAGACTCCTGTTTCAATACCATAATGATATATATATATATATATTTGTATTCCCATCATCAGTACAAAAAAAAATGAAATAAATAAAAATAATAACTTGACGTAGAATTTAAATATTGGAACTCTCTAGGGATTTAAAGGGATAGTTCACCCAAAATTGAAAATGTACTCACTATTTACTCTCCTTCAAGTGGTTTTGTTCGTCTAAAAACAAAAGAAGATGGTTTGACAATGTTGGAAACCTGTAAACATTGCCATCGATAGTTGGAAAAACAAATACTATAGAAGTCAATAGTCACCGGTTTCCAACATTTTTCTAAATATCTTCTTTTGTGATCAACAAAAAAACAGAACTCATAAAGGTTTAACACAAGTAAAGATTGTCCTTTTTGGGTGAGAGCTTGTAAGTTTATCTGGATAAAAGCATTTACAAAATTAATAAATGTATGGCAAATGTAAAATGCAGTACAGGGATGTCAGAGAAATAACCTGATGCTTTTTGTGTGTTCAGGGAGAGCCTGGTGCCGCTGGAGCCAACGGTGGTGTCGGACCCGCAGGGATGCAGGGAATGCCCGGAGAGCGCGGTGCTGGAGGAATGCCCGGAGCCCGAGGAGACAGAGTAAGATTATTACACTCATTCATCTGCATCATTTTGACATTCTACCATCAGATATTTGTGCAAAATGATATCCGAGTTAGCGTTCATGAGTGTTGGGGATGGATGGATAGATAGATAGATAGATAGATAGATAGATAGATAGATAGATAGATAGATAGATAGATAGATAGATAGATAGATAGATAGATAGATAGATAGATAGATAGATAGATAGATAGATAGATAGATAGATAGATAGATAGATAGATAGATAGATAGATGATAGAATGTACATTATAAAACAAAATGCACATTATAGACTTAATTATATGTAGACTTTAGTTGTCCATCACATGTGTACACTGTAAAAAGTGTTTAGTTGATTTTACTTTTAAAAAGTGAGTAGACCCATTATCAATTATTAGGTAAATGTATGAAAAAGTATGTGCATAATTCTAAAAAATTAAGTTACATGAACTTAACATTTATAAATTACAACAGAACCAACATTTATTTAAGTAAAATCAATTTGTCACTTTTACGGTAATGGATTTACTCGTTTATTTTAAGTAATAGCTGTTTACAGTGTATAAATGGCCAATAATACATTGTAAAAACACAAAATTATATTGTTTTTAATTAGGTTTAGATCATGCTCCATGTAGATATTTTGAAAATTCCCTACAATTAATTTGTCAAATGTAATTTGTGGTTAGTGATATGCTTTTCAAAGAACTTTAAAGGATGTTTTTCTCAGTTGGGATTTTAAAAATGTTCATATTCCAGATATTCATATAGATATATCGCAACTAAATATTGTCCTATCCTAACAAACCATACATAATTAGAGAGCTTTAAAAGACTTATTGACCCTTATGACTGCTTTTGTTGTCCTTACTTAACCTAAATTGTCTTTTAACATTTCATCCAATGATTCTTGTTCTTAATATGACAGAACGTTTCGGTACATTTGGACCTATTTCAGTATAGCTTTATAAACAGTATTGATGCTGTGCTTTCTCTTTAGGGTGATGGTGGTCCTAAGGGTCCTGATGGTGCTCCTGGCAAAGATGGCGTGCGTGGCATGACCGGCCCTATTGGACCTCCTGGACCCAGTGGTGCTCCTGGTGATAAGGTAAAGACATATGAAACATTTATTAGATAGCATTGAAAGATTAACACTAATGTTGTCAAGCAATTACGTTTCAGCTTCAAAGTCATTTTGAATTGGTCACTAAATAAAAGGATAAAAGAATAATGTTGATACTAAATCAGCTTTGTATTTGGTTGTGTTTTAGGGAGAGCCTGGTGCTGTTGGACCCCCAGGATTGACTGGACCTCGTGGAGGCCCTGTAAGTTATTACAGAAATTAAATATCTTGAAACATAGACATAAGGAGCAAAAGATAATGCTAACTTCCAAGCAGTTGCATGCAAAATGTATTAGCAGAATTAGCCTAGTGTATCATATTTGATCGACATTTTAAAAAATCTTTTGCACATAGTCTACTGCATGCCTTCTGATTTGTAAATCAGACTTTTATTTTGAAAATGGCACCTTTTTGCTCAGATTAAAATCAAGTATTTTTATCCTTATTTTTTTCATTATGTCACACTAGATAACCCGCAGAAGTCTAATATATAAAATTTGAATAACTCAAACAAACATGCATGCAATTTGTCATTTCTTTAGAGTTTATTAAATAAGTCATTTTGCTTCAAGCTTTGCACAGTATGTATGGGATTATATATAAACAATGTAGTGCATGTCACTGATGCATTTTGATTTTTGTCCTATCTCAGGGTGAGCGCGGTGAAGTCGGTGCTCCTGGACCTGCTGGTTTTGCTGGACCTCCTGTAAGTAAAGCAGTCTCTTCTCAATCATTTCCCACCATGAGGGGTTTCAATTTGAGGTTAACTATCTCTTCTCTTAATGCAGGGTGGCAATGGACAGCCTGGTGCTAAAGGAGAGACTGGAGACTCCGGACCCAAGGGTGACGCTGGAGCTCCTGGACCTGCTGGACCCGTTGGAGCTTCTGGACCACAGGTAATATCATCAGCATTAGAAGCAGATGAACTTTTTTTTTGTTGGTGTTGATATAAGTGTTGTTAACTTATTGTTTGTTGTTGATAGGGACCTGCTGGTGCTACTGGACCTAAAGGTGCTCGTGGTGGTGCTGGACCTCCTGTAAGTGTGTTTTTACGCACTATTTATTGCATTATTACAATTTATTACACACTAAAAAGAACAATTTTACTTTCACTGCCAAGTTATTCAGTGTTTTTTATTAAATTGTATATTTAATAATGTATTTTTTTATTATTATGTCAGTTTTTTTTTTTTTTTTTGCTTATTTCTGGTGTTGTTTTACCTATTTTAGTATGTTATGTTGTAATATATATATATATATATATATATATATATATATATATATATAGTTATAGAAGTATAATAGTTTTTTATACTAGATCCTGCACATTATACATATCCATATAAAATTAAAACAGAATATTTGCTTTCATAATTATTGAATACAAGTGATGTATATAAAATAATCAAATAATATATACAAAATATATACATGAACTCAAATAATATATACAAAATATATACATAAACTCAAATAATATAATAGTTTTTAAAATTAAGACAATCATTTATTTTTGTTGTTTAGATTACTATTATTATTATTATTATTAGTTGTAGTAGTATTAGCATTAGTATTAGTATTATTATGATATTAATTAACTAAAATTAGCCTCACACTTAAAATGCATGACTTTCTTTGCAAAAAAAAATATACATGTTTTGTTTCGTAAACTATGCATTTCTGACATTTTATGATGTCAAATGATATGTAATGCAATCATAATAATTTTTAAATCTCTTTTTGCCGTCATTTTTCCCACAAAATGCTATTGCAGTGTGTCTTTCAGGTTGTTTTATAGCAGTCTGTTCGTGTTTTTGTTTTATTAGGGTGCTACTGGTTTCCCTGGTGCTGCTGGTAGAGTCGGACCTCCAGGCCCCTCAGTAAGTATTATTCATTCTAAACCAGGTCTAAATCCGGCTTTGCCAAAAATAGAGTGCTAAAAATAGCGATTGCAAAAATACAGCTTATAAATTTGAATAGTAAAACATTTACTTTACTTTTTTATGTGAATTTTTATGTGGCCACTAGAAAATAGACATATTGTAAACTTGTGAATATGATATAAAATAAAGGGGTCAGCTTGCAAAATATATTTGTGAATCTCTGATTTAAGCAAATGTTTATGACTTCATACTTTATGTAGCATTACTAACTTCTCTTAGTCTTAGTTTTTTTTACTTTTGATGAATTTAATTTAATGCCTTCTGTTTGTCTATCTCAGGGTGCTTCTGGACCGCCTGGACCTACTGGTCCTGCTGGTAAAGAGGGACAAAGAGGAGCCCGTGGTGAGAAGGGACCCGCTGGCCGTCCTGGAGAGGCTGGAGCTGCTGGACCCCCAGGACCCTCCGGAGAGAGGGGTAGCCCTGGTCCCGATGGTCCTCTTGTAAGTAATCATATTTCCAACACTTCCAATATTGTCATTATACAGCTTAGTTTGGCTTAATGTTAATACAGTTTAGTTCAATGTCAAGATCAGCTTTAAATTTAGCTAAAGTTCATTCAGTTTGTTTCACAAATGTTTATATATTGCAGATAGAGGATATTACAATGATTATAGATTTTGTTGGTGTGATTATTGTCTGAGGAATAATCACAGTTTCAAGGTTAACAGGATTACTATACATTCATTAATTTTATAACACTATTATTTCATAAAATGACATGAAAACTACACAGTATATTAATAACACACAATAGAGTCAATTTCTCTCCTTAAAATAAAACTTTTTGACATTAACAACTAATAATTTCATTTATTTAACTGAAAATAACTAGCAATCAAAATAAAAATCTGTTTGGAATTAAATATAAGAGACATAAATCTAACAAATGTAGATAAATGTAATCTAGAAGCCTTTTTTAATCTACTGCATTACAACATTGTTCTGTATTTTAATTTTGTGCATTTTTTCTAGATCTTTTAGCACCCAAATAATAAAAAAAAAACCCTCTAGCTACCTTTTGACTTCAACGATATACTTGCCTTTTGAAAAATACAGTACAATGAACATAAATAAAGCAACAAAACAAGGTCCACATCTCTGGAATTTAATAATTTCATTTCATGCAACAGAAATGTTGTAAAGCTAAGCCTTTACAGTTGATTAACCATGATGAATCAAAGCACAATTAATAGTGAAATTGGTTAATCACTGCATCCCTATTTGCAGTTAATCAATTATGAACCTATATCTGAACCGCTCAGATATCAATATGGTCATTAACCAGCTCACTATAGTTAAATTGTTGTTCATGCAATAGTGTCAGTGCAGTGCAAACACATGATGTCTTTGAATCTTAATGGTCTTTTATACCTCTTTCTTGTCTTTAGGGTCTCGCTGGAGCTCCTGGACCCCCTGGTGTTATTGGATCTCGTGGTATTGTTGGTCTTCCTGGACAGAGAGGAGAGAGAGGTTTCGGCGGCTTGGCAGGTCCTTCTGTAAGTACTCCGACAACAGATTTATATAGATATTAGATTTTATTTTAGGATTATTTGGATCTACATTAAAGTCAACATACAATCTAGATCAAGATATATTTTATGTATAATTTATTTATTTCACAGCTAAATAAATAATAACAAAAGAGAAACAAATAAAAGTAAATAATAGCATCTTTAAACTTAAAAACAACATGTCAATAGAACAAACTTGTTGGAGCCTCGCACAATATCAGAAAGGCTACTCCAGAGTTTTGGAGCCATATATGAAAAGGCTCGACCTCCTTTAGTGGACTTTGCTATTGTGGGTATACTACAAGAAGCCCTACAAGAGTTTTGGGATCTTAAAGAGCGGGCTGGATTGTAGAGAGAGAGAAGGTTGGTTGAGAACATTGAATTGGTTGAAAATTATAGCAATAGTAGGGTGGGACTTGACTTTGTCCAATTGTTTGATTGGTGGACCTCATGTGAGTGACAGTTTATCCCGCCTTGTTGTGGGACCAAACACCAATCAGGGATGTTGGTGAAGAGACGGGGGAAGATATTACATTATAAAATATAGCCTAAGATAATACAGCATGTTCTTTTGCGAATTGTTCAATTTTCAGTAGCTGTATTTTTAAATTGAATATCTTATTTTATTGAAATATGTCACATTTTAGAAGCAATAATAGTAATGATAAGACTGTTTTTTGTATAGCACTTTTCATACATTAAATAGAACTTAAAGTGCGTCTCAAGAGTAAACAAATATTTAAAACAACGTCAACATGCGGGTAAACAAAGGTTTGATTAAACAAGTTTAAGCAAAAGCTGAAAACAATGCACAAGACAAATGTAATGTAAATAAAATAAAAGTAAAATAAAAGTCATATGCTGTTATGTTCATACAAAACTTTAAAGAGGTGAGTCGCTTTTTAAAATATGATTGAAAGGGTGCCTTCTGGTGCAATTTTAGAATATTTACCTTTAATCAAACTAAAAGATTGAATATGACTTTTGTCTGTGTTGTTACTATTTGATTGTTTTGTTTTTGTACAGTGAATGTTTGTTATGAAACTGATTTGATTGCATGTTATATATTGTATATTTAGTTTAGGTGTTGCCATGAATATAGCCAATGCTGCTGAAATGGCATTAAAACATAAATAAAAAATAAATAAATAAATAAATAAAATAGATAGATAGAAAATAATAGAAATAATAGATGAATAAATCGACTCTATCGTTTAATTTGGAAGACCATAAAACAGGTTATGAATCCTGTTTCGTAAGCTTAATTTTCAGATAAGTCTGTTGATAATTGACTATTCATATTCTCCATTATTGTAAGTCTCTTTTTTTGATTGAAGCGTCTGTTGAATGCATGAATGTAAATGTCCATTATACTCGTGCACTACAGGGAGAGCCAGGAAAGCAGGGACCCTCTGGGCCTGTTGGTGAACGTGGACCCCCTGGACCAATGGGACCCCCTGGACTGAGTGGAGCCCCTGGTGAGGCTGGACGTGAGGTCAGCAAACTTTATTGGTGATTTTATGAAATAACCAAATGCTGTTCCAAATGAATAATATTTCTTATGCCTTCAAATCTGCAGGGTAACCCTGGACATGATGGTGTTTCTGGCCGCGATGGTCCTCCTGGACCAAAGGTGAGCACAATTACACATATTATTACTGTTGTGAATTTGAAGAAGAGACAAAACAGGAGGATTTTCGGGTCTCTGTAAACTCACTGTCACTGTGGTGTTCCTTGAAAAATCTCTTTGCTGCTGCAGTCTGCAGTAAATACACAATTTAGCTTATTAGTAGAAACAGAAACTGCCTAATTGACTTATGGTGAAACATTATTTTACCTTAGTGAATCCCTTTTAAAAATACATTTTACAAAAAATGCTATTATTATGCATGCAGCTGAATACTGCAATGTAACACATAAATAACTTGCTTCAAGGGTATTTTTGTATGCATATTGTAAATGTTAATAAGATATGCTTACAAATATAAATCTATAATTTTGCTATAATCTTAAACATGTATTAAAATAATACAAATATAATACATCTACCACATTATATCAGCATAATTACATTAAACATTATCCATCATCTTCCATAACAGAAAAAACTATGCATCGTTAAAAAACGCAAGTAAAATAAGTTTGCCTAAATGTTTACATTCGTACATGATAACTATTAAAAAACATGGTTATCAAATATGTATTAAAAATCTATGATTTTAATATAATCTAACAAATATATCTACAAAAAACCAGCATAATTACATTGATATTTATCCATCATCAACACATCAGCTGCCTGTTTATTTAATGACTTTTATTTATTATCATTACTATAGGTCATGGAAATTCTCGTTTTAGTCAGTAAAAGTCAGGGAATTTTACATTTGGCTTTGAGTGTGAACCTTGCATATATGAAGTTGAAGTCAAAATTATTGGCCCTCCTTTTTCTAACAATTCCCAAATTATGGAATTTTTCACAGTATTTCCTATAATATTGTTTCTTCTGGAGAAAGTCTTATTTGTTTTATTTCGGCTACAATAAAAGCAGTTTTTGGCATTTTAAGTTCACGTTACAATAAAAAATATGCAATATGAAATAAGCAAGAACAGCAAATGTACCTAAATCTTTATGTCCTTACATGATGATAACTATTAAAAACTTTTCAAGTAGTGTACTCTCAATAATACTTGACATTCGCTCTCTCTCTCTTTATTTATTCCTCCTTAAATATTAAATGAATGGCTATCAATATGTAAATGAACACGTGAAAGATCTACCCATTTCAAGCATCATTTTTCTGCAATTGTAGGGAGACCGTGGTGAGTCTGGAAACAGTGGTCCTCCTGGTGCCCCTGGTGCTCCCGGAGCCCCTGGTCCTATTGGTCCATCTGGAAAGACTGGAGATCGTGGAGAGGCTGTAAGTTTTAAATGCTCATATTATTTCCAAAAATGGTCAGAATCATTTAAAAGGCTCTATGTCTATTTTTTTAATCATCTAAATACTGAAGTAAGCACGTTCAGTTCCAGAAGGAGACAATATAGCTAGCATCAATCTTATTATAGTGTAAAGTATTATAGTGTCAATCTTATGTTATTATAGATGTTGTTATTATGTTGATAAAAGGTTGTATTTTTATTTCATTTTTTAATTCAAATTTTGATCACATTTGATTTTAAGGTGAATTCCCACTATAAATAAACCATTAACTGTGACTTTTAGCTCAATAATCTTTTAATTTGCTTATTATTTACAGTTATTAAGATAGTAGTTGGGTTTAGGTATTTGGTTGGATTATGTTTGTAGAATGAGATCATGGAGTAACCATTCCAGAAGGAGCCACTATAGCGGTGTCCATTATATGTTATATAGATGCTGTTAATATGTTGATAAAAGGTTTTATTTCTTTTATCTTTTCTTATGTAGATTAGTTTTGGTCACACTTTATTTTAAAGTACAATTCTTGGTATTAACAAACCATTAATTGTAAATTTATTTTAATAATCTCCTAATTAGCTTTTTTATTTATAGTTATAAAGGTAGTAGTTGGGTTTCGGTATTGGGTAGGATTATGGTTGTAGAATGAGATCATGGAGTAACCATTCCAGAAGGAGCCACTATAGCATTAAGTTATTATAGATGTGTTTATTATGTTGATAAAAGGTTTTATTTCTTATATCTTTTCATTTTTAGTTTAGTTTTGGTCACACTTTATTCTAAAGTACAATTCTTGGTATTAACAAACCATTAGCTGTAAATTTTAACTTAATTATCTCCTAAATTGCTTCTTATTTATAGTTATAAAGGTTGTAGTTGGGTTTCGGTATTGGGTAGGATTAGGGTTGTAGAAGGAGATCATGGAGAATATGTACTTTATAAGTACTAATAAACAGCCAATAGCTTAATAATTGGTTTGTAATAAGCCACTAATTATTAGTTGGCCTCCATACCAATGTTTTGATTCTTTGAAAAATGACCAATATTATTTAAAAGCCTCTATTTGTATTTTTAATAGTGTACATCTAAATACTGTAAACAAGTAAGCACATGGAAGCATTCCAGAAGGAGCCACTATAGCAGTGTCCACCATAAGTTATTATAGATGTTGTTAATATGTTGATAAAAGGTTTTATTTCCTATATCTTTTCATTTTTAGTTTAGTTTTGGTCACACTTTATTTTAAAGTACATTTCTTGGTATTATCAAACCATTAACTGTAAATTTTAACTTAATTATCTCCTAATTTGCTTCTTTTTATAGTTATAAAGCTAGTAGATTGGTTTCAGTATTGGGTAGGATTAGGGTTTTAGAATGAGATCATGCAGAATATGTACTTAATAAGTACTAGTAAACAGCCAATAGCTTAATAATTGATTTGTATTAAGCCACTAGTTAATAGTTGTTCTCCGTACCAATGTTTTGATTATTTTTGTGTCTTTTTAAAAATTATTCATTAGTTATTTTAGTAATATTTTTATTTAAGTTTAAGTTATTACCATTTTAATTAAGTAATGAATATTATTTTTATGTTGTTTATTATTATTTTATATTTTTAGCATTGTTTAAAACTGCTGGCATAATAAATAAATTACATTTGTACAAACAAAAATAGTTATAAATTTGAAGTGTCTTGTGCCATGCATTGCATATGGTATATTAAAAGATCTGATTTGTAATTTTTCTCTCTTTTCCTCTCAGGGTCCTGCTGGTCCTGCTGGTCCTTCTGGTCCTGCTGGTGCTCGTGGAGCCCTGGTATGAATTTATCATTTATTCAACTTTAAGTTTTTATTCATTTAAAGTGAATGTTGGAACATTTTAAATGAATAGGGCATAGGGGGGATAACTGGGAATAGAACACAACCGGGATCTCTGCTTCTAACTACACAGGAGTAGTCACAGCCACACATGTTTGTGGATGTTCATTGGAATGATGGATTTGGGAAAAATTAAGTTATATACATATAATTTAACTTGCAACCTTACAAGGCTAATGATCAATTGTGATCAATCACCCCTGATCAATTGTGTTGTCTGTTCATGCAGGGTCCCGCTGGTCCTCGTGGAGACAGAGGTGAGGCTGGAGAGGCTGGAGAGAGAGGCATGAAGGGACACCGCGGTCTCTCTGGCATGCCTGGAGTTCCTGGACCTCCTGTACGTGAGCATTAGATCACAGTCACACACTGTTCATTTAAGAAATATCACTTACTCACGTTTTTTTGTTTTTGTTTGGACAGTACTGTGCAAAAGTATTAGGCCCCTAGTTACATTTGTTGTTTTAGTGAGAGTATAATGACATTAAATATTACTTCTTATTCTCTTTATTAAAATACAACCAGAAAACACAGGTTCTAGTTGGAATTTTTGGGTTAAATTGTTTAAGACATATGAAAGAAAGAGTTTGAGTGAGATGGAAGAATGGAGGGAAGTTTCTGACTTGGTTTGATTTACATTTCTGCCAGAGCTGGTGTCAATATTGGCTGAATTGATGCCATTGTGAATCCTGAAAAGTACAGACAGGTTTTAATCCGTCATGTAATTCCTACTAGAAAGCATCTAATTTGTAATAGTTTTTATTTTCAGCATGATAATATTCTCAAGCACACTGCTAAAATAATTAAATCATATTTGGAAACAAAGAGAGTCATGAAATGGCCTACACAGAGTCCAGACCTGAATATTATATGCTAAATTTATAGATAATATTATAGGCAGTAGAAGATTTGTACAGTACTGTGCAAAAGTCTTAGGCCCTTACTTACATTCGTTGTTTTAGTGAAAGTGCAATGACATTAAATATTACTTCTTATTCTCTTTATTAAAATACAACCAGAAAACACAGGTTCTAGTTGGAATTTTGGGACTAATTATTTAAGACATATGAAAGAAAGAGTTTGAGTGAGATGGAAGAATGGAGGGAGGTTTCTGACTTGATTTGATTTCCATTTCTGCCAGAGCTGGTGTCAATATTGGCTGAATTGATGGCATTGTGAATCCTAAAAAAAAAAAAAAGTACAGACAGGTTTTAATCCGTCATGTAATTCCTACTAGAAAGCATCTTATTTGTAATAGTTTTCATTTTCAGCTTGATAATAATCCCAAAAACACTGCTAATGTAATGAAATCACCTTTGGCAACAAAGACAGTCATGGAATGGCCTGCACAGAGTCCAGACCTGAATGCTATATAGAGTATGTATAGGCAGCATGAGATTCACCTGGAGAGAAAAAGAAAGAGCCTGTTAAATCTAACGAAGAACTAGTAGAAATGCTGAAAGATGCTTGATATTAAATAGCACATCATATCAGAAATGAGAAAAAGTTATAAAAGGTTCATATTAAACAGACATCTAAAGCTAGACTTTTAAAGTAATTTTGTTTTGAATATTATGTACATGTTTCCCATATTTTCTGTTTGTATATTAAAGGTATAGTTCACACCGTGCACTTGCTCCATACATTTTAGATAGGTAGACATTTGCACAGTCCTGTATTTTTACTTATTTGTAATGCTTTCCGAATGTTTTCAAGGGAACTTCCGGTGAACAAGGACCCGCCGGAGCCACTGGCCCTGCCGGACCTCGTGTAAGTAAAACATCTAGTATTTTAATCTTTACTTGTATGGTGCGTTTAACGTTACACATTGTTTCAAAGCAGCTCTACCGAGAAGTATGGTGTTAATGTTTACAATCTTAAACTTTTCATGTCTAATAATCCATTAGCTGCCATGAAAGAACAACTTTTGCTTCCTTTAAAGATTAGTTTGCCTAAAAATAAACATTTATTAACTATATATTCACCCTCATGTTTTTCCAAACCTTTATGAGTTGCAGTTTTTGTTGACCACAAAAGAAGAGATTTTGAAGAATGTTAGAAACCGGTAACCATTGACATTCATAGTGGAAAAAAATATTATGGAAGTCAATGGTTAACGGTTTACAACCTTTTTCAAAACATCTTTTGTGTTCAACAGAAGAAAAAAACTCGAACGGGTGAATTATGAGTAAACGATAACAGAATTTTCAGTTTGGGCTGAACTGTCCCTTTAAGCAATAATGAGCCTTTGTTTTTAAGTGTATGAGCTACATGAGCATCCTTATGTTCATTTTTATTCCATTTATAGTTGTTTATGCAATATATAAACAATCTAGCTGTTGATATTTGCTATTAAGTATGCAGTAAATCCCTTTACATGAAAGTACTGTATTTTCAATCTCATATAACTTTCATTCTTCCATGGAAGACTAAAATAGATGTTAAGCAGAAATTCCTGCTGCTCTTTTCTAAACTATGATAATAAATGGTGACCAAGATCTACAAAAAAGCACCATGAAATAGATAACATGTAAATCTGCAGTGTTTTGTGCAGTGCTTTGGAGCAGAAGTGGTCATTTTAATACTCTATTGATTTCCTTTTTCTTCACAGGGACCAGCCGGCTCCAATGGCTCTCCTGGTAAGGATGGTATGAATGGCGTGCCTGGACCTGTTGGACCTCCTGGACCACGTGGTCGCTCTGGAGAAATGGGACCTGCTGTAAGTTTCAAATCAGCACTTTGACCACTTTCAGGTTATAATAATGTACATATATACATGTTTTAACAGAGCATGTCGTTTCTGGAAAATAATGGAAGCTTATAATGTCTATTCCAGACAATGACAGTCTGGGAATTTTATATATTTATGTTTAAGTCATGGATTATTAGGGAATTTAGTTGTCATTTTAAATCTGACTTCCCATTAATGAGATATATATATATATATATATATATATATATATATATATATATATATATATATATATATATATATATATTTTTTTTTTTTTTTTTTTTTTTTTTTTTTTTGATAATAGTTTTGCTTATTGTAATGGTCAGGCTAGTTTTCATTGCTTTTTCAGCTCATCAACCAGCAATCAAATAGTCACAAGGCCTTAAAATACTGTATGTGGCTGTTTTTTGTCTGCTCAGTGCTCAAATAGTCCCTGCTAGATTTTGCATGGAAAATATCTGATTATTGCAGCCTAAAATTACTTCTTTGTGCTAACTTTTCTCAATTTTTGACATTTGTTGTTTTGCTGTGAAAATATACACCAATTTAGTCCGTTATTACTTTTTCACATAAAGAAACATTGGTTTCTATAAACCAGGGGTACCCAATTTCAGATTTTAGCTCCAACTTGCCTCAACACACCTGCACAGATGAGAGAGCCTAGTAAGAGCTTGATTAGCTTGCCTAGGTGTGTTTGACTGAGGTTGGAACTAAACTTACCAGGACATCGGCCCTCCAGAATCCACTTTCCTCATTGGCCCATGAACATTTCCTGCTAGTTGTCATACTATTTCATAACTGTAACAAGAGACAATTCAATTATGACTTAACATTAAAACAGCTATCATGACATTATTTATCAATATTTGGACCTTTTTTGAAATCTCGAAAGCTATGAAAATTAATTGTTTTTGTTTACATCCCTCAAAATGGTCTATAGTTTGTAGAAAGAAAACACTGAGAAAAATGGAGAGAATGTGTTTACCTCTTAATCTTATAAAGCCTACTGCATCATATTTGATACATGAATGACTCAAAAGTAACCAAAATAAATTTAATTAGCTTTATTTTGAGTTTAATTCAGCAAACGCAGAATCACAAACTCCTGGAAGGACTGATGAACACATCTCATGGCTGTTTTTTTGCCTGTTATTATTATTACTATATATATATATACATTTTTAGGTAGTAAAAGTCGGGGAATTTCACATTTGACTTTAAGTGGGAACCTTGTATATGTGAAGTTTACGTCAAAATTATTCGCCCTCCTTTTTCTAATATTTCCTAAATGATGTTTATCAGAGCAAGGAATTTTCCACAGTATTTCCTATAATATTTTTTTCACTGGAGAAAATCTTAAATCTAAAAATGATAACCAGAAATTGGGGGTGGGAAATATACAGGGGGGCTAATAATTCTGACTTCAACTGTATATATTGATTGTGATTTTGTTTTGCTGTAGGGTGCTCCTGGTCTTCCTGGACCCCCAGGCCCTCCAGGATCAGCCGGTCCCGGTGAGCCCTTCCTGCCCATGCCACAGCAGGAGAAGGGTCCCGATCCTCTCCGTGGAGGCTACAGAGCCGATGACGCCAGCGTTCGTGACCGCGACTCTGAGGTCGACACCAGTCTTAAATCTCTGAGCCAGAAGATCGAGAACATCCGCAGCCCCGAAGGAACCCAGGCCAACCCCGCCCGCATGTGCCGCGACCTCAGGATGTGCCACCCAGAATGGAAGAGCGGTAAGCATTAGTGATCCAGATATAGCGCGCTTTCTCTGATGTATAAATATCAGTAGCTAAAAAAGTTATTCTTATGATTGGTTGTGGTCAAGCATCACATTTACTGTACATTTATTCATTTAGCAAACGCTTTTATTCAACGCCACTTAAAAATGAGAATAAGCACTTTAAATCACCACCCAGCCAGCAAAATTCATGTGACTCAAATCTGGCCCATACATCCGGCCCACATACCGCATGGAATGATGGCACTTGGGCGGTCCTCTCCTGTTTGCCAGATCTGGGCCACAATTAAGCCATAGCAATATCACATATCAGCTAGAATTCAACCAAATAAACCAGAACTGGCCCTATTCTGGGCCACAGTTTGCTTTTATTCTGGCCCAGATCTGGCCCACACCAGACACTTACATCTGGACCACAAACTGAATGAAATGATGGCTCTGGGCGGTCGGCTCCGGTTTGTCAGATCTGGGTCACAAACAAGCCAAAGCAATACCATATATTAGCCATAATTCAACCAAATGAACCAGAACTGACCCTATTCTGGGCCACAGTTTGCTTTTATTCTGGCCCAGATCTGTCCTATTACTTCTAATAATGGATTAAACAATGGTAACCATCAGTGAATTATATTATTTCATCACAGGTTGTGCCTCGCTTAATTTTTTTGCTGTAATAAACAAGTTCTTAAAAGTTACAGCAGCCCAAAAGAAAATGTATAATAGGAGGTTCAGGGCTATGAGCCCAACTAAAGCAAACACTTTTCTCCATAATGGTGACTTTAGTCTATGTGATCCACATATATGTTTCATTATAACTGGGCCACATTTGCCATATCTTCTCTGGGCCGTTTTAGGCTCACAGCCACATTAACCAGAGCTAACTGTGCCAAATATTTGCCAAAAGTGGCCCACATTTGTTTTTGGATAACTGGGCCACATTTACCATATCTTCTCTGGGCCACTGTAGGCTCACAGCCACATTAACCATAGCTTACTGTTCCAAATATTCGCCAAAAGTGGCCCACATCTGTCTTAAGGTAACTGGGCCACATTTGCACCTACACGTGTGAGCCACTTTAGGTTTAGACCCCGATTACCCTTAAATAACTATGCCACTATTTTGCCAACTGTGGCCCACATTTGTTTTAGGATAACTGGGCCACATTTGCCATATCTTCTCTGGGCCCCTATAGGCTCACATCCGCATTAGCCATAGCTTACTGTGCCGAATATTTGCCAAAAGTGGCCCATATATGTCTTAAGTTAACTGGGCCACATTTGCCATTTCTTCTCTGGGCCACATTAGGCTCACAGCCGCAAAAGCCAGAGCTTACTGTGCCGAATATTTGCCAAAAGTGGCCCACATATGTTTTAAGTTAACTGGGCCACATTTGCCATATCTTCTCTGGGCCCCTATAGGCTCACACCCGCAAAAGTCAGAGCTTACTGCGCCAAATATTTGCCAAAAGTGGCCCACATCTGTCTTAAGGCCACATTTGCACCTACACGTGTGAGCCACTTTAGATTTAGACCCAGATTACCTTTAAATGACTATGCCACTATTTTGCCAACTTTGGCCCACATTTGTCCTCTGTCATTTGGGCCAAATTTTTTTATTTTCCACATGGCGCACATTGGGCTCACATTCAGATTACATTTTGCCATAAGTGCCAAATCTTTGCCTTGAATGGCCCATATATATGAATTTAAATTTTTCCCCCCCTCTTTGCCATTTTGTATTTGGGCCACTTCAGGCTCACATTCATTTTGTCTGGGCCAAAGGAATACCATCAGTGCCGCATAACTGACTAAAGTGGACCACATTTGTATGCTATCTGGGCAGAGAGCAGCAAAACATAGGTGCCATTACAAATCTAAGTTAGCTTAGCATGTTTAACATACACACACACACACACACACATATAAACACACATACAGAGTGAGTTTTCCTACTGGTGGTTTGTCAAGCCCACTCACCTGCACACTCAGAGTTGCACTTATGATTTAGTGATGATAACAATGTCCGTTCAAGTTTATTTGAATAGCACTTTTTACAATTAGTGCACATTATTGCATTACAATCAAATTCAGAAAACTTAAGGTTAATATTTTGTATTTTTATTAGTTACAATAACTTTAACTAGTAACTAATAGCTTTTAACAGTGAAAGTTATTATAGATAAACATAGTTAACCTGTAGTTATGTAGCATATAGGTGATGTTTTTGTGTATGTGTTCACCTATGATTTGGTTATGATAACAATGTCTCAAATCTATTTTCCTTCAAAGGTTCCTACTGGGTGGATCCCAACCAGGGCTCTCCTCTGGACGCCATCAAGGTCTTCTGCAACATGGAGACTGGCGAGACCTGCGTCAGCCCCTATCACTCCGACATTCCCAGGAAGAACTGGTACACCAGCAAGAACATCAGAGAGAAGAAGCACGTCTGGTTCGGAGAGTCCATGCCCAACGGCTTCCAGGTACGGAGATACACTTGGAGAAATAATGCACTATTTTAAATGAGCTTTTTTTATAATACACAATTAGGGGTGGCACAGTGGCTCAGTGGTTAGCATTGTACCTTCACAAAAAGAAGGTCACTGGTTCGAGTCCTGGCTGAGTCAGTTGGCGTTTCTGTGTGGAGTTGTTCTCCCCATGTTGGTGTGGGTCTCCTCTGGGTGCTTCGGTTTCCCCCCACAATCCAAACACATGAGCTGTAGGTGAATTGGAGAAACTGGCCGTAGTGTATGAGAATGTGTGTGCATGAGAGTGTATAGGTGTTTCCCAGTACTGGGTTGCAGCTACAAAGGGATCCACTGAGTAAAACTTATGCTGGAATAGTTGGTGGTTCATTCCGCTGTGGCCACCTCTGAAATAGAGACTAAGCTGAAGGAAATTGAATAATTGTTATCAGTGTTATAAGCCAGTAATAATGTTGTGTTGTATCCTCTCTCTCTCTCTCTCTCTCTGTAGTTCCAGTATGGTAGCGATGGCTCTGATCCAGAGGATGTGAACATCCAGCTGACCTTCATGCGCCTGATGTCCAACCAAGGCTCCCAGAACATCACCTACCACTGCAAGAACAGCATCGCCTACATGGACGAGACCTCAGGCAACCTGAAGAAGGCTCTGCTCCTGCAGGGCTCCAACGACATCGAGATCAGAGCGGAGGGCAACAGCCGCTTCACATACAGAGTCAGCGAGGACGGCTGCACGGTGAGCTGAGCACCACGATTTATTCTCATATTAGCTTATCATACTCACTTAAATGGTTAGTTCACACAAAAAAGAAAATGACCTCATCGTTTACTCTCACTCAGGTGGCTTTTACATTTTTATGAGGTTAATTAAGATATTTAGTTTGTAAAAAATGTGCATATTTGTATTTTTTACTATATTTATTTACTTTTTTTTGTCTTTAGTACATGTTAAAAGTTCATAAAATCAATGAAGATGGTGTTAGTAAAGAAGATATTTTGAAGAATGCTAGTTGCTGGGATCAACTTCTATAATAGGAATAAAAATACAATGGAAGTCAATGGGTGCCACCAACCAGCATTTTTCAAAATATCTTATTTTCTGTTTAGTAGAAGAAAGAAAGTGAAATGAGAAAGTGAGAGAGAGAAGGATGACACAGTTTTCATTTTTTAGGTGAACTATCCTTTTAAAATGCTGCTGTGATGATGAACATTTAAAGGGCCATCCATACGTATTACTCTGATGATAATAAAAATATAGGATTGTTTCATTGGTTTTTTTTAACAGTTCCTTCATATTTTGTTTGCAAATTTTCACAAATGAGCTAAACATTTGAAGCATAATCAGAAGTAAATATCTAAAAGGCAATAAATGAACTTAAATTCACAATCATTAATAGGGATAGTTACTCCACTTCACTTGTTTCTTCTGTTGAAAACAAAAGAAGATATTTAGAAAAATGCTGGTAACCATTGACTTCCATCGTTTTTGTTTTTCCTACTATAGATGACAGTGGTTACCGATTTCTAACAATAACATGACAAAAAAAATCCTAAAATTGTCTTAACTTTAGGGAGCAAACTGACAGCTGTCGTAGTAACTTTAAAAAAATGTTAAGGCTGACAGGGGGAAAATGGTTACGAGGTGGCGCAGTAGGTAGCACGTTCGACTCACAGCAGGAAGTTCGCTGGTTCGAGCCTCGGCTGGGTCAGTTGGCATTTCTGTGTGGAGTTTGCATGCTCTCCCCGCGTTCACATGGGTTTCCTCCGGGTGCTCCGGTTTCCCCCAGACCAACACATGCGCTATAGGTGAATTGGGTAATCTAAAGTTGTCCATAGTGTATGTGTGTGTATGAGTGTTTCCCGGTGAGGGGTTGCAGCTGGAAGGGCATCCGCTGCGTAAAAACATATGCAGGATAAGTTGGCAGTTCATTCTGCTGTGGCTACCCCAGATTTATAAAGGGATTAGGCCGAAAAGAAAATGAACGAATGAATGAATGAATGAATGAATAAATTGGGGGGAAAATGCCTACAATTGCAATGTCTAACAATGGTATTGTATTTATTAATAATTAAAAATTAAGAACAAACAACTTTAATTGTAGAAAGACTCTTGAAGGACCTTGTAGATGTTACATGTTACATATTATTACTAATTCCTGACATTGCAGACATATTTTCATCAGCTCTTGCTTATTCACTCTTTATATACTCATAAGCAGAGTTGAGAACTTTTCAAATAATATCGGCTTTCGCTTTTCTGCCGAACTGATCAATGTTCAATTCCCGTGCCACTGAACATAGCAGCTTTTCATTTTCTGTCAGTCTTAGTATAGTACATCATGTAACTACAGAAAACTTAAGTTTTAAAATAAGCTAATTAATGAAACACTTGCCTAACAGTGATGCTAACGGTCTAATCTGATTCAATGATCTATGCTAAGCTAAGCTAAAAGTGCTCCTGGCAGACCTGGAGATTGATTGAATAGGTTAAAAATTGTAAAACTCGCCAGTTTTACTCTAGGAGATCTGTAAAATGAGCCTTTTGCAAAAAAAAATAATAATAATGGAGTGTTACTTTAATTTAAGACCAAAGATAAGAAACGTTCTGTACACACCCTATCAATCTGATGTTCATTAATTTTTCATATTTGTCTCTTTTCCCCTTCACAGTCACACACTGGCACATGGGGCAAGACAGTCATTGACTATAAGACAACGAAAACATCTCGTCTGCCAATCATTGATATCGCTCCTATGGACATTGGTGCTCCCGATCAGGAATTCGGCGTAGAAGTTGGCCCAGTCTGCTTCTTGTAATAAGAAAAATCTGGACATTGCTGTTTTTTTTCTAGCAGTCATCTTCAAATCTTTTCCTGTTCACGACAAAATAAAAATGATGATAATAATAACAATAGTAAAGCCCGAACTCTTATTCGGCTGCAATCGGTCCATGTGCTTAAACCAGAATCCCTGAGGACGGTGCTATGCTGTGATTCTCATCTCAAAACAACAAAACTGAGGACCACGACATCATTATCATGGACACTTAGCGAGAATCCTTTGCGTCAACAAGAAAATAATATATAATATAAACGCCCCGAGGCCCCCCAGGAGTCCAAAGAAAAACTTGGAGACTTTCTTTGCCGTTTTTTTGACCACTGCGAAAGGACAATGAAAAACAAGCAAATGCTAATGTACCATTCTCTGGTGTTGAATAAATATGACAAACGACAGCCGAGTGTCTTTGTTCCTTCAAAACATCACACAGATAGTCAATGGTACGACGTCATCTTGATATAAGGCTACCTCAGGACAAAAAAAAAGTGCGTTTTTGGGCGGGAAACGAGGGCTGTGTTTTCATCCAAGCGATTGATAACATATAAAAAGGTGCTACTTACTTTCAAGGGTCCTGTCAGTGGTTTGTTTGTGTTTGATGGGAAAGAACAAGCCTTTTTATACTGTCGTTTACCCTTTCGGGACCTTTTTTTGGTGCTAAATGTCGACAGAATGTCTTGATGTCAATGTGATTGCTCAAAGTGTCAGCAGAAGAGGATTAAACAGCAGTTTAGGGTTGGTTACTGTCGATTTGCACTTAATCTTGTGTGGGTTAAGTGGATGGATTGATTGCCAGTTCGTCTAACGTCCAATTCCCCTTCTTAGAGACGCCTTTATGTACATGCCGCAGCTCCCCCTTGTGTCCAGATTTAATTACTGCTTCCCGAATGCAATGCACATCTCTTTTCTATTCTGAGTTTGTTTGATTTGTTTTCAGCGAAAGGTTTCTTATAAAAACTGAAATGAGGCGGCCAAAACTTAAAGAAAAAGGGAAAATGCAGAAGAGATAGACCCTCCCATTGGTTCCATCAAAGGATCTGTACTTATTTTGTACATGTATAGTATTTCGAGATGTTTTTAATTATTTTGGATGTTGAAATAAAGCATGTTTATGTGGTCAACTGGATGCTGGATATGTTATCTTCTTGCCATGGCCTCAATGCCTTTCTCTAAGCACCAATTAAACAAACTATCATGCTTTCACTCAACTATTTCTACTTTATTTCCAGGGGCTGCATGTTGATAATGGGGAGGGGGCTGCCATACATTGGGAAAAAAATATATATTTTAATGTAGAAATTTTTGGCTAAACATTAATGCAGTTGTATTTTGGAAGTGGAAGTACCGTAGTTATTCAAATGAAATTTTTGTGGTCATGAATATGCCATATTTTCATAAAAACTCTGAACATTCACTTCTGCTGACTTTAATACATCATAACTCATCACTCATATACAGTGTATCCGGAAAGTATTCATAGCACTTCACAGCACTCTTTACAGCCTTATTCCAAAATGGATTAAATTAATTTATTGAATTCATATACAGTCTTTTTGAATATGATGCCACAAGCTTGGCACACCTGTCTTTGGGAAGTTCCTCTTTGCAGAACCTCTCAAGCTCTATCAGGTTGGATGGGAAGCGACAGTGTACAGCCATTTTCAGAACTCTCTAGAGATGCTCATTAGGATTTAGGTGTGGGCCCTGGCTTGGCCATTCAAGGATGTTCACAGAGTTGTTGTGAAGCCACTCTATTGATATTTTGGCGGTGTGCTTCGGGTCATTGTCCTGCTGGAAGATGTACCGTCGCCCCAGTCTGAGGTCAAGAGGACTCTGAAGCAAGTTTTCAGGATGTCTCTGTACATTGCTGCATTCATCTTTCCCTCTATCCTGACTAGTCTACCACTTCCTGCTGCTGAAACACATCCCCACAGCATGATGCTGCCACCACCATGCTTCACTGTAGGGATGGTATTAGCTTGGGGATGAGCGCTGCCTGCTTTTATCCAAACGTAACGCCTGGCGTTCACTCCAAAGAGTTCAATTTGAGTCTCATCAGAGCAGAGAATTTAGTAGTCTTATTGCCTCAGATGCTCAAAGAGACTCAAACAAGCAGAGGGTAAGTACATAATGACTTTTAACTTTTAGAAAAGCATCCATTAACATTGTCAAACTTTGAGTTTGCAACCAAATTTCGCTTTCTTTTAGAAAAAAATACTTCAGTCCACCTTCCATACACATCATCTTTATGGTAGGTGTGTTTATAATATACTTGAGAGGCTCAAAACATTGTAAATAAAATAATTAACACTGGGCGTAAGATAAGTTAACACTATATATTTAATAACACATGATTTCAGTAGCATAGCCTTTACGTTGCAAACATACAGTATACTGTGTTTTTGTTTTCTTTTTATGTCGAGTTATTTGCCAGATTTATATTGATACGATTTGTCACATGCTCAAAATGTGCAGTCTTTGAAACAAATTAATGACTTTTGGCTTTGATTTCTATAAAGTTATGATCGAGCGCCCTCTGATGGCTTGTAAAGTCTAGATGGGATACAGCTAATGATACTCACATCAATATAGCACAGTTTTTGACGCTATACAATCGTAATAAGCCCTTTTACATTACTGTGAGGGTTGGGGTAAACGTTAATAAAATACAAAGTAATATATAATTTAATAAATAATATAAATTATTCTCGTTAACTTTTGGCGTCAGCTGTATCCCTTCTAGCAACAACCTTGATGGCGGGCTTTAGGACGTACTGCTGCAGCGCTCGCTGAAAACTGAAGGAATGACCGCCAAATGAAACAAAAACATCTAAATTACACAGTTTACCAAATTCTACCGTCATCTTATGTAGTTCTTTTCCATTTTATTTTGCTATTTGACGCTGTTAAAACGGGCTGTGGCCTCGTGATTGTGATGTTTGGGTCTGAGGGAGTTTAGGCGGGAGTTTAGCCGCCAATGATACAGTGGCTACTATGCAGACTCCTGGCTAACAGTTGAGGTAAAGGCCTAAAGGCAGAAAATATCTGAACTTAGAAGACAAAAAGGACAACAGAGACAGAAAATAAAACATGTAGCTACAGTATAAGCAAGCTGGAAAGATTTGTTGATGGATCTTTTTTATTTTGGACAGGTAAGGGCGTTATTTACACCATTCACAAACATGAAGTGTAACGTTTATTGGCATACAACTATGCGGACCAATGATGATCCACACCATTATTAATACTAATATATTGGTGAAAATAAGAATTACTGAATCCATCTCAGTAACAGACCACTTAAAATCTTTTTACTGTATATGTTAAATCCAGAAAGTTCATCAGTCTAATATACACAGAACTATATTTTTTCCACATCAAGCTACATTTTAAATGACACTGCATACAATCTTTAATATAACTGTTCAAATAATAATCAAAATCATTATTAAAACAAATCGTGTTCCCATCACATTGTTGCTGTAGTCTTTTGTAGGTATTAGCCGGTTATAGGGTGGTAAAGCGCCATTTTAACACTGGTATTTCTTCATTAATAGTGGTCAAAACAAGACTGAAGAGCGTCACATGGAGCAGTGGGTAGCACGATTGCCTCACAGCAATAAGGTTGCTGGTTTGAGCCCCGGCTGGGTCAGTTGGCATTTCTGTGTGGAGTTTGCATGTTCTGCCCGTGTTTGCATGGGTTTCCTCCGGGTGCTCTGGTTTCCCCCACAAGTCCAAACACATGTTGTTGGTGAATTGGGTAAGCTAAATCGTCCAATGTGTGAATGAGTGTGCATGGATGTTTTCCAGTGATGGTTTGCAGCTGGGTTGCTGCGTAAAACATATGCTGGATAAATTGGTGGTTCATTCTGCTGTGGCGACCCCAGAATAATAAAGGGACTACGCTGAAAAGAAAACGAATGAATGAACAAAAATTGGCCATATCGAGAGTGTATGTGTGTTTTCCAGTACTGGGTTGCAACTGGAAGGGCACCCGCTGCATAAATAGTTGGCAGTTCTTTCCTCTGTGGCGACTCCTGTTGTATATGGGACTGAGCCGAAGGAAAATAAATGTAAGTCTATGGTTACCGGTTTCCAACATTTTTCAAAATATCTCCTTTTGTGTTCAACAGAGGAAAACAACTCAAAGCTTGTGACAAGGATGAGTTAATGATTTTAGTTTTGGGTGAAATATCCCTTTAAATAGGAAAGAGCTGCATGAACATTCTTGAAAATATCTCCTTTTGTGTTTCAATAAAAAAACAGCAGCATATACAGTAGTTTTAACATTTCTTTTTTCTCTCAAGTGAATCACTCTCTCAGATTGAATTTTGTTAAAAGTATTCCTTAAAAACACAACAAACCAACAGTGAACCTTAAATATGTTTCCACAGACTGTTCCTCAAGCGTTGGTAGCTAGCTTGTGTTGTTCAGCGTCCCGCCATGGGCTGCTCTGCCATCAGGAGAGGCTGTAAACACTGCCGAGGGCGATCCACATTCTGTCTGTCGTTGCCGGCCATCCTCCGCAGCTCATTGGCGTTACCCTGGATAGTGTGGTGATGATACAACTGGAGACTGAGATCAGAAGAGACGTACAATCAGTTAAAGCTGACTAAATCATGAAAATACCATAACATGTTTGCAGATATTTATGAAACACGCTAAGTTAGCACTTGTTTATATGAAAAACAATGCTGAAGTCAGGTGTACTATTTTGAAAATTTGTTTTGGTCTCTAAAACCCTCCCACTGCCCAGGCCCGGATTGGCTAATTGGGAGGACCGGGAGCATTCCCGGTGGGCCGGTCCCTTTTTTAGCCGCAAGGGCTGGTGTCCCTAGCTGCCCGCACTCTCCTCAGTCGCACTTTTTTTCATTTATTTATTCATTTGACCATAGCCTCACTCTTTTCATTCATTATTTTGCCGCAGCTCCGCTCTTTTTATTTATTTTCTCGCAGCCCCGTGTGCAAAAGGCAGCCTGCAGGCTAATGATGACTATCATCTCACCCCAAACAGCGGCACCTTAGTGAAAATAGGAATTCGAATAATTAATATTAATGAATATTACACCTGCTCAATGAAAATTAAATGATTCACTACATTAATAAATCTGACTTTCCCAGAGATGGGTTGTGGCTGGAAGGGCATCCGCGGCATAAAAACTTGCTGGATAAGTTGGCGGTTCATTCTGCTGTGGCGACCCCGGATTAATAAAGAGACTAAGCCGACAAGAAAATGAATGAATCTGACATAACTTGATCAGTGGTTAAAAGAGTCTTGCAGATAACAGTGCAATATTTATTTTTTTAATCCATGCATATCAGTGTCATATGTGGTGCAGTGGTCAGCACATTGCATTATGACACCACCGACCTGTGTTCGAACCTCACCTGTGTGGTGGTTATTTTATTTTTTCCATTTTTATTAAGACATATAATAATGTTAGGGTTGTTGAACATTTGAAGTTCTAAACCAGCTGTTTTCTTGAAAAAGACGTGATAGTGTCATTAGAAACTGAATTGGAAATGACCTTATTTTAATATAGTCACTCGTGAACTGAGGTGGGCCGGTCAAGGCTTGAAACTCCAGGGCTGAAAAGGAGTCCTACTCCGACCCTGCCACTGCCAGTTTACTTAATTATATTTCTGCATTACAGGTTGCCTTGATGGAAAACAGAGTATTTCATTTCTGTCATGAAAGCTATTTAGATATATGCGAATTTAACCAAAAAAATGCAAACTCTGGAGGACAGAAGAAGCCTCCGAATATAGACACAGGTTCAGTTAAAAAAGTTTACATGCTGTAGTTTTTAATATGCAAATAATTCATTCATTCTGTTAATTTTCTTCAGCATAGTCCCTTATTTATCAGGGGTCGCCACAGCGGAATGAACCGGCAACTATTCCAGGATAAGTTTTGCACAGCGGAGGCCCTTCCAACCGCAACCCAGTACTGGAAAACACCCATACACACTCACTCACACAAACACTCATACTCTACGGCCGATTTAGTTCATCCAATTCCCCTATCGCGCATGTGTTTGGACTGTGGAAGAAAACCGGAGCACCCGGAGGAAACCCACGCTTACACGGGGAGAACATGCAAACTCCACACAGAAATGCCAACTGGCCCAGTCTGGACTTGAAACAGCGACCTTCTTGCTGTGAGGCCACTGAGCCACCGTGCTGCCCTAGCACATAACTTC